GCAACTCATTCGTTAACGAGTAACTAGAAAAAACATTAGTAATGACTAATAAATCGCCACAAAATTTTTATCACTTTTTTAGTCTCTCCTTCTTTTCCCGCTTAGTTCAAAGTTTTTGAAAACCAATTAACAACATGAGAGCTTAAGGTTCCGTTACTACTTTCCAGCCTGTTTACTGCACAAAAAAAAACGACAATAACAAAAAAAAAGCATTTGATATACACTGCCGTTTACTGTTGTTATACGTCCAATTTGATGAAATAAATTGCAACACTAAATGAACCATATAAAAAACATTATATTCAGCTGCCTTTTTTTTTCTTATTTGTAACTGAAAATTAAGAAAGAAAAAAATTTGCAACCTTTTTATATTTTTTTCTCTTTCTCTCTTTCTTTTTTTTTTTGTGTTTTTTATTTCATTTTCCAAACATACACAAAAAAAAACAAAAACATTTTCTTATCATAGAAAAAAAATCTTCAACTTCGCCTTTTTTTCTGCTAGAAACAATATTCACTGAATTGTTATCAAATGAAAATCTAAAAAAACACCCGCATACAGACAGACACTGACACCGACACAAACACACGTATAACACACACACATTACCTCTGTATCCTACAGAATAATTTTTTAAAATCCATTAATTTCAGTGCAGTGGAATGGCTGAAACAATAAAGGTATCTCTGTTTCCTCTAATTCGCAGTCATAACAAATAAAAAACTCAAAAGCCAAAAAAAAAAATTTGTGTGTTTAGCTAAAAAGCTTCGAAAAAGTGGCAAAAAAAATAGGGTGGGAGACAATAGAAAATGAGAAAAAAGACTTCAAAATTAAAAAATACAAATTAGGCAAAAAAAAATAATAATTAACTCAATAATTTATTCTTAAATAATGTAATTGTCTCTTTCTACAGCTTTTTTTTCTTGTTGCTTAAACAAAATTTTCAAAATACTGAAAAAGTAAAAAATACTTTTCAACTTTTTTTAAACATTAAATTTGGCTAATATATAAGCGCCTTTTTTTCCTCACTTCTTTTTTTTGCTTTATTAAATTGAACCATATAGTTTTAATGTTAATCAATAGTTTTCAGCAAAATAAAGCAAACAAAGATAGGAAACAATTCCATAATATAGAATCAAGTTTTTTTTTCCGTAAATTATTCATAAGAAACTTGAAACATT